TGGAAGCTCTTCCTCTTCTAAGAATAAGTATACCATTGTAATAAAGCAGTCATATTTCACATTGTTAACATTAATACTTCAATTTGTAGTCTAAGAATACAAACCGCTTTGCAAAATTACAGTTAAATTACTGTTTGATCGAAGTTCCATTTTCCATCAAGATTCGATCATTTTTACAAAAAAATCGGAAACAGAAAAATCCGTATATTTAATATTTATTGTAAATTTTAACAAACAAATTTCTTTTCAGAATTCTTGCATGCACACAGTATAAACTCTGACAAGGAAAAATATTCAGTTAGTCGGCTCTGCAGAACAGCTGTGCAAATAACGCTTGAAAAATACGGAAATTCAGTGGTATATTTTAAACCAGTAAAGTGTTTAATGAGAAAACATCATTTAAAGGGTCTCTAATAGTGAATAATCCAACAAATATTTATATGAAGATGTGAGTGTGGAATTTAAACAATTTATTTCTTGCATAAAAATTTAATATGCAACCGTTTATGACAAATAAACTTTTTAACTGTTCAAGAATCAAATTGGTGAATATGTATAATTAAAAGCCAGTACTACTGTGGGTGTTATGATTAACTACAAACAGATCGAAAAAGAAATTAATCAAACTTGGCCATGCACGATTAGCAGTTTGTCTTAGTTTAAAATATTTTTTTTTAAACGTCACGTTGACAAAAGTAATTTGCAATGTTATCAAACGAAATTAAAGCTTTTTTGTTAGAATCTTACTTCAGAAATGGGACAAAATTGGAAAACGGTGATTTTGATTCATTTTTATGTATTTTAAGAGTAGATGTCACAATTCTAATTTTAAACTGTCAATTTCACATTTAATAAAAAAAATTAAATTACGACAAACGGTTTGTCGCGCATGACCAACTTCGACTAATTTATTTTTTAATCTCGCGGTATTAACAATTACTAATAACAAATGTCGTCTCTTGGGCCGCTTTGCATGCTGTTAATAGATCAACCTCAAATATACAAAAAAGGCATGTTTCAGATTGGTTATTCTCAATATAAATACCATCGATCAATGAGAATTTTTTCTAATGGTGAGGATGCTAATTTTTTATGGCGAAAATTGAAACTATATATCTTTTATATTTCGAACAGAATTAAATAAAATTAAAAAAAATATAGATAATTGGGCCTATTCAATTTTTCAAAATATGTATATTCAAAATAAAAAAAGTTTTTAAATGTAGTACTAAGCAATAATAAAAAAAAAACTAGTAAAACGATAAGAATGTTTACTTATTACTCTAATTCTTTGGGAATGGACGTATTTGATGTTATATTAACTGTTGTATTACAGTAAATTCATTAGAATTTAATAAACTTAATTCTAAAGATTACCAGATCTAAATATGAACAAAACCTGCTTCAAAATCAGTGTCGAAAAGCCATTTGCAAATAAACAGCTCTTCTTCTCGCACCTCAACGTCACGTGTTGAATGTACATCGTGCTCAATTTTAGGATAAATTATTTACTCAGTCCGGTACCGCAATGTGCCAGTATGTGGTATATTTTTTCATTTAGAGAATGTCTTTAGTGATTTACACCGCATAACCCTTTATTATTTTTGAACATACACAGAGAGCAGAATGGGAAACGACTCAATAAAGCGCACGTTCTTCGATATCTCATTAATTGATTGGACACAGATACCAAAGTTCTACGACGCAATATAAACTAAAATTAGTTTCCGCTATACAGAATGTTTCGTTTTTACTTTACTTTATGCGCTAATAAGGAAATTATGGACAAGCGTCTGAAATAAGGCCAGTTTTATGATAGCGATAGAAAAATGTAGCGGCTGTTTAAAATTTCCTTTCAAAGGAAGAACATATTTTTATTAAGTTTTGCTTTCAACATAAATTACAAAAAAAACAATTTTCAAAAATTTTAATTGAGTGTTCAACAAAAGCAGCTTCTGAGTGGTCCACTTTACTAAGATTGACCTATTTTGTTTCTTTATTTTATTGTATTCTGTAAGTTGTGTTTCATGTTCATGCCAAAAAGAAAAAATAAGTAACCAATACGGTTGTACTTTCTAGTTCCTTGGTTGTAAACTCCAATATCTTGAACTTGACTTGGTTAGTTTATTTTTAACTTAATGTTAGCGACTAGTAGAAACTTTCTGCCGTTTGTAAACGTATATTAATCCCAGCAATGTCAAAAATCACAGCAAATGTAACAAATCAAGATCACTTCTTTATCTTTAAATTAAAGGAATTATTAATTTATTTTCACTCATCATCGCATTATTAACGCTTTTTAAAAAACGAATCTCTTTTCTATTAACCGTTTTAGGCTTTGTAGACTCATTCATAACCTTCCTGCTATTGCTTAGAAAATGTTATCAGCTTATTATAGTATTTGCTGATAACGACATCAGCTTGTAAATTTAATGTTTTCAACATCGATTAATAAATCCAAATGCTCTATCTACACTTTATTATAACAAGTCAAAGTTATGTATTCACGTTACACTTTAAGAAAAGAAATATGTTTTTATAATATCTACATATTACGCAAAATTTACCGTTTTAAAAATGGGAAAAGAATTTTCTTTTTTGGAGGCTGTTTTTTTGACGAAGTGAAAATTGCGACCTTGCCAACCTACTCATACTCATAAAGAAAAACGTTTGGGCTCTCATTTCATTTTTTACCTAAATTTCAGTTGTAAATTCTAATTTTAAAATTAATTTATGGTTGTGGGACCTTTTGGCTTCTTTAACAAAATGTAAAATTTTATAACTGCTGAGTAGTTATAAATTACGCAAAACTATTTTGATTATGAAGTTATTCCAGCATCACTTTGTTTATGCAGAATTTTAACAGAATCTAAGATCTCCGCTCGATAATATTTTCTGAGAACTCGTAAAATAGCAGCATAATGACTATGATTCAGTTCGCATTTTTAAATATTAAACACCTTTTCTTGTTTAGGAATTCCTCATACACGCCTGAGAAACACTAGCTTCCCGATTCAGATAAATGAATGAATTAAATACTTAACTGTTAATTGATACATATTAAATAATGCTTTTTCTACTATATTTACGAAAAGCAACTCGACCAAATTTAATTTTTTAAAGTTCTTACTCAATATGTTTATTTAAATGTGCGTTCTCGAACTGCAAATTCCATACTCGGTCTTCAGAAGTACATTTTCGGCATGTGACATACAGAAACTATTTTGAATGACCAATTTGAAAAATAGCTTGACGTGCTTCATTCATCACAGGTTATAAGTCTGGAAAATTATTTGGTTGTTAAAATATGTAGTGTCGGTTCATAAATTTGTACTTGCTGTTTCTTGTTTGTAGTGAATATCAGTATCAATATACTCAACTTTTAATAGTCGCGTATTCAAAAAATATTGTTTTTACTACGGCCAAAAGTATTATAGTTGTAGACTTTCAGCCCTTAAACAAATAAATATCGCTTACATGCTGTGGGGCAGTGAAAACGATTTAATTTTGTTTGATGAAGTACTTGACATACGGAGTGATGAATGAATGAGTTAATGAAAAAGTGTAAATTGGAAGATCCGATATATGTATTTTATAACTTCTTTGAGTGTTCATTTCATTTGTGAATTGAAGGTTAACACATGTTTGTAGACTTGCATACATATTTCTATTCTGCGAAATAATAGACTTTTGGTTAAATTTGCTCTTTCGGATTATGTTTAACTGCCTTATTACGAAAAGTAAACTTTGTTCCACTTTTAATGATCAGTGGCTCTTAGTTCAATTGAATACCTAACGCATTTAAAGCGATTATTTTAATTGCACATACACTTAAAAAAATCAAGCAACAATAATAATTCCAATAGAACACAAACTCTTTACATTATCCACCCAATTTGAAAATTCTGTAATGATGAATGCATGTTTTTTTTTATTTATTCAAATTTTCGTTACTTGCATATTGAAATTCCCCAGACTATTTCACTATTGTTAAATAAACGTTACTGTTATGCATAAATACACAACTTACGTTCATAATTATCTGTACTTTATTCTATAATAATAATTATTGGTTCAGTTGATAGTATTAATAGCACAAATAAAACTTTTTAACCACTTATATAGCTGGTGTATACAATATAGATAACGTGAGACCTTAATCATCCGTAAGTCGATGTTATAATCATAACTCACTAATTAGTAGCTAACTTAAATAGTTAAAAGAATAATAATCTGTTGAAGGTATTGAGTTTTTAAAATACTTATTATTATTTCATTTCCTGTTTTGGTTTTGACCAATTTAGCATTTGTTGACTGAACATCGCATTCAAGCATACCGAAGGTCCTTCCTCACGGACTTGCACTTGCTTTGCATCATAAAGCAACAATTAGTACAATTTAGTGTATTATGCCGTGAATACTCCATTTCATTCTCACCGGATGGACTCAATTTTTTTACTGTCTAAACTGTGTGTACTTTATTTTGAACACGTATGAGAATAGGACTGGTAAAAGCAGCAAGCTTGTGTCTTCCGTACTGAATATTAATGAAGATGAATAAGATCTGGTTTAGAACAATCTGGTCAAGGCAGGTTACTCGATAAAATTCCTGGGATTACTTTCACTCCAAATGATACTAGGAGGTAAACAAATGGACTGGTAGTGACCCTTCCGCGTACAAAACGCCGCCGACACTGACCATATTATTTGATGCAAGGTCAGAGCTTGATCCTGATGACCATGTTATTTAATTAAAAACAAAAATCACAGGTGCGTTTGAGCCTTCGACTTAAGCTTATGGCGAATATAAATGTTTTTGGCCACTTCCTGCTTGACGCTCGATGTTTTTTTTTTTCACATTTTTTCGTAGGGTTATCTAACAACCACATCCTTACATGACGTATCTAGTTTGAATAAAATCTATTATAAATAACTTTTGCATACACTTAATTCGGTAAACGAATTCATGATCTTAAAGGAAATTATTATTTTTTTTTTACCTGATTGCTCTGAGCTATTTCCAAATTGGAACTTCCGTTGGACTGTGCATTTCCGGTCATTTTTGCCTACTCGCTACGTGCAAATCTTCTGGGCCTTCCCAGCGGCTTAAACCATCACTCAAGCACCACTAAAATATTTTTCCCGTTTTTGTGTTCGCAAGATTTTCATCGGCGAGACCGCGCGCTTCGAATCGTGCGCTATACAGCGACTTACTGAGAGAATTCACAATCAGGTGGGGTACGAGCGTTTAAAAAACTTTCCAAGGTAATAACCACATTGTCCCGCTCATGAATTATTCTTTATCTTTGCAAATGTGTTCCTTGTTTTGGTGTTCTACATAGATACAGATCGGAACTAACCGAGAATTGTTAATTGATCGCAAGAGCCGGTGATAGATCGTTACAAGTTTCCTGCAGCGTTAAATAAAACACGTGTGAGTTTTTCAGCACGATAGTTCCATGCTACGTCCGTGTATTTTTTTAACGATATAATGTAAATTCCTCGTTATCTGTGAATAAATCAACTTGTTGTAAAACTAGATTGAGTGATGATGAGTCTATTATTCCGTCTAACATTGAATTTTTACAAGCTAGATTTTTGGATTCGAAAGCGATAATCCCAAATGTCAGCTGATTTTTTACTAATTTGGTGTGCATTTTCGGATCGGGGACTTATTGCTATGGGTGTCAGGTAACTTGTACTTTCACGTGACGAGACTTGCAACTATAACTACTTGGACAGTTTAAGTAGCTTAATTTATTCTTACCCGGATGTTCAAGTACGAAGTTTCATGGTGATCCTGGATGTCACTAAAGATTTCCTCAGATTCACTGTACACTTTTATATATTTATAATCAGGGTAATTCTTATAAACCATATTGAAGCGTTTCCAGTTACTTTCAGTCTTCTCAACATTTTCAATGTTAAACTGGAAGCGGCAAATTAAACTTTCTCCTTGATACGCTGTTGCCAGATACCATCTTATTGTAAAGTTCACACACTACGTTATGTAAATAATACAACGTAAACGAGTTCATTATTTTTATTCATAATAAAAAGGAGCACAAAAATAAATCCGTAAAGAGCGGAAAGTTAACATCTAGTTATAAAGATAATAAATTATTACGAATATACATGATACAGTGATTTTAAAATTATCTAACATATCAACGCCCAACAATTTTCAATCTATTAATTTTTTACACCAAGATAAATTATACTAGTCAACTTAAACAACATACTGTAAAACTGCAATGTTTGTAAAAAAAAATTATTTATGAAAAATATCGCCTTACTTATCTCACTTTCAAAAGAATAAATGTTACTGCTGCAGTTTTTCAAATATGTAGTTGTTGAAAAGTGTTAAACAAAATGTCCAGCATTATTAATTACAATAAAGTAAAATAATAAAAAAGAAACATTAAAATAACATTCTTTAAATTAATTCATAAAAAAAAACTTGTTTGTATATACCGTTATATATCTAATTAATTGTATGGAAAGGTGGTTCATTTTAAAATCGCTCACCTTTCAAAGCATGAAAAATCTTAAATCTACACTAAGATTGGCATACTACTCTGTTTTTTTCGTTTTACTCTCTCGTCCATTTGAGAAATTCCCCCTCCTCTTCCTATTATTTTTCCCTAATTTAGCCTTCTCCCTCATTTTTGTAACGGCTTCTGCCGTTTTCTTTAAATATTCTTCTTCTTCAGTCCCTTCTAAAACTTTGAGTTTTAGCTTAACTTCGCTCACTTCTAGTTCCTCATCTGTGAGTTTTTTCACAAAATCTACAGCTGCATTCTCTGCTGAGAATCTCAAGTAGCCTTCAACATCTCCTTTATAAAATTCAATAAATGAAACAGTCACGCTTTCATCTACTTGTACAATTTTCTCTTTAATTTCTTCCCGCGTTAAAGATTTGCCTTCAGGGATACCCGTGAAATGTATTGCTGCACCCTTGGGATATTCAAGCTGCTTACATTTTTCCTCCAATTTTGCCTGTTTTTTGTCTTTTTTAGATTTTACTCTATCTTCATATTCTTTCTTTTTTTCAGCAAAATATTTATCCTGCCATTTACGAATCAACTCAGTATCTTTATATTTGACACTTTCTTGATCAATAAACTTCTGGCAAGTGTCTTTGTCCTTGAAGATTATGAAACAAGATCCTTTGAATTTATGATCTTTTGTGCTACGACGGTTGACTGAATCTACTGGTCCATACTGATCCATGAAGCTAATTATTTCATTTAATGATTCATCCAATGGAAAACCCTTTGCATAGGCTGTAAATAAATATCATACCATTAGAGTTGAATTTTCACAAAAAGTATTTAAATTAAATAAAAAATCTATTAATAGTTGCATCACGTGTGCATTACCTGTACGTTCCATAAGCTCCTTTTTGCGAGCATCATTGAGTTCTGGTAAAGGCAAATCGGGATTCCTTCGAATCTTCTTTCGGTCTTCACTTACTTCCACCAACCCATTTTCCGCTTTTTCTACTGCTGTAGCAATAACTTCGGGGTCTTCAGAAAGGCTAGCGAGTCTTTTAAATGTTAATAATACCTCTAAACTTATCCAGCCGTCGTCTTCTTTCAATTTTTCTTGCATAAATTTATCACGTGGTAAATTTATATTTCCGAAATAATACTCAATTTGTCGAATAATTTTACTTTCTAATTCACTTGCCATAGTTAATATTCGTAAACAATGTTCGATAAATAAATTTTTCAACACGTGGTGTATGCGACCGCCGAACCTCGACGCGTTTCGAAACAAGATACAAAAAGGACGTTCAGAGGTTATGTTTCTTTTTGACAGTTGGTATTTTCTCGTGCTTACAAACCACACCAACCAAACCTCCCCTAGAAAAATTCAAAAATCACCGTGCTATATTTCAAAGTTGTGTCAAAAAAAAAATAATAATTTACAAGAGATTCTAAACAAATAGCACAGCGAATTTAATTGAGATTTGGTAAACATATAGGGTATGCTACCTATCTATACTTCTAAACGAATTAACTTGCAGAAACGCGAGTGAAGAGGTTATCTAGAATTGTCAGAAATTTATGCACAACCAAGATTTGTTGTTAACAAATGTATTTTTCGTTGAATTAGTTGTTGCCACCCATTTTGCAAATTCGCGAGCAAAATTCTAGGAATTCCACATGAACAGAACGGAATGGGCGTGCGCATGCGCTTGCAATAAATTGTTTGAATCTGTCAAATAAACTTTCTCGATCTTTTTTGCTGGCTTCTTGTAGCAGACGGGTCGTTTTTAGTTTTCCCACAGAAACTACAGCAATCCCAACAAGATGAGGCTGTACAAAGATATTTTCACAGGTATGTATTACCCTTTAATTTTTGTTTGTAATATTTTCGGGAAATATTGACATTTTATGCAAAAATTTAACCTTTAAAAATCCATCTGTCATCTTAAGTGACATTAAAAAGCGATGCAATTTTCATCGGCGTTCTAGTATTTGATAAGTAAATAACGAAAAATGACTTATAAAATGCTTGCGTTGGGTGCACATGTGAGGTAAACGTTTTTGTGCTAAATATTTGCTATTTTTAGGCGATGAAATGTTCTCAGACACCTACAAAGTAAAACTAGTTGATGAAGTAGTTTATGAAGTTTATGGAAGACTAATTCAGCGAAAAGAAGGAGACATTCGTTTGGAAGGCTCTAACCCGTCTGCTGAGGATCAAGATGAAGGCACTGACGAAAATGTCCAGTCTGGTGTCGATATTGTTATGAACCACCGATTAAGCGAAACATATGCTTTTGGTGATAAGAAGTCATACACCGCGTACCTTAAGGATTACATGAAAAAGTGAGTTTTGTATTTTTATGAAGTGTTTATAGTATGCATGTACTAATACTGGATACTGGTGTATGATGCAGCATTCAGAGCAATTCATGCAAAATCATTTAAAAAGTGAAAAAAACTGAATGGATGTATATCTCTATTTAGCTAAAATCATTTTTGACAATAACAATGATTTAAAATTTGTGTTTCTGAAAAGTGTTACGTGGGTTAGTACTTGCTGCAATGTTGAGAGTATTGCTTTGTTGATTTTTACTAATAATGTATGTTTTGTTTCAGATTAGTAGCAAAATTAGAAGAGAACTCCCCTGACCAAGTAGAAGTTTTTAAGACAAATATGAATAAAGTAATGAAAGATATATTGGGAAGGTTTAAAGAGTTGCAGTTTTTCACTGGTGAATCTATGGAAATCGAAGGAATGGTCGGTCTAATGGAATACAGAGAAATTGATGGAGAATCTGTACCAGTAATGATGTTCTTCAAACATGGACTGGAAGAAGAGAAATTGTAGTTTCTTCTTTTTTTTTAATTATTACTGTTATATATACCATTTTATTTATAATTATTCCATTTGAGATTTGTCTTCATTGAGTTTTTTACTAATTTTGTTCAAACAGTTTCGGCATTAGCTTATCAAATTGTATATTAACATGCAATTTTGGATGACGTATACTCAGAACAACTCTAAACAGATTACTTTCTTGAAAGTAACTTTTGTTGAAAATAAATAAAATGTATATGACAACTATTAATTATTGTCATTTTGAAGTGCTTTTGCTAAAGTGAATTTTTGAAGAACTATTTACCTCGTTTTTCTTGCTACCAGTTTCTTAAAATTTCCTGCCCTAATACTAATTAAATCTGGATCATATTTTCTTTGTGGTATACGTGATTTCGTGGTGAATATGCACAAAAAATAACTTCAATATCTAGATAACTTTTTAAAATTGTTTGTGTTTTTCAGCATTGGCTAAAAGTGAGTTTTGTAAAAAGTTTGAATTTGTTTGTCTTCGTAGACTCCACTACTCGTTACATAGTCCTTGAAATAAATTGAGAAATTATTTTTCAAAATAACAGAAACTAATGCTTTGAATCTCTTATGTTTGAAAACCCTTATAAGGTTAGTTTATAGACATTCACAATCAGTTAATTAACCTTAGGCCATTATGATATTTATGGTTCTAAAATTTTTTTCCACAAAGATACATTATTCATTTCAAATGTGAAGCCTTTATTGCTGACGTGGAAAAGACGAAAAATCTGAAGTTTAACACATATGATATCTCTGACATCGACGCCGTTGTGTACATGGAACTTGTCTCTCTGAAGAACAACTAATTTCGCAAGTATGTCGAATCGTACATTTCAGTAAAGATTGATTTTCAATTCTGTGGATATATGTAAATATATTAATTTTGATGTGTGCTATATAACGATAATCGTGACATCGACGTCCTGAATTTTCAAAAATTTGGTGGGTTTACTCTTCAGAGGAAATGGAAAACATAAATCAGTTTATGTATTCGTTTTTAGCACGTCCTCTGTAATTAAGCAATTAAATATTAAAGCCCACCTAATGTACAACACTAAAATCATATTTCAAAGTACATATATTCTTTAATAAACTTTCGTTTTAGAAATTGAGAATGCTTTCTAACTTCACTAAATTCTGTTAAATATTTCTTATAAACTCTACTAGGTATATCATTCATTTTCCACTGTTGCTCGTGTTAAAATTATTCGACGTATTTTGCATTAATTTGTGGTATATTTTGATTTTGATAAATACATTATTATTTAAATAAATTCTACCACTAACAAACATTTAGTAACTCTGCGATCTGTAAAAAATGTTGCTTTGTCAACGTGAGAATTTTCAAGCGATTCTATGATGATGACAAAAATAATGAAAAGAAAAGATGCAATGGTGTTTTTTTACGATATTTCTCAGCCATATTTTTTTAATTTATTGAACTGGTCTCTGCGGTCTAGAATATGAAAAAAGCTGCAGTTTGATGTGTGACATATCTATATTAATATCATTTTTTCAGACAGAAAATAAAAAAATATATACCTCGTCTAGCGAGTCCCCTTAACTGTAAAATTAGATTCTGCAAGTTTGTTTAGAATCACCCCTATCAAACAAAAGTAGGAGTGGGTTATTAAGAAGTAAAGCAACACATTATAATGCTGGACGTTTCGGGTAAAATTGTCTTATTTAGTTTTGTGAAGTGATTTTAGTTTTATAGTTTTGTTCACACTGTATTGTCACAAGATGAAACAAGTGTAGACCGATTTTTTTTTTATATAAATTTGCCTCAATAAAATTCTTAGTAAGGCAGTAGCGAGCACTACCTAAATTGTACTTTCGAGGTTCGTACATACAGAGGTACATACCAACACCTAAGTTTATTTTCATTAAAAGTTATGATATGTTTAAAAAAATTATGTCGCAAATATGTATCCTGACTTATATTTTATTGTTTGTTTTAATATTTTCTACTAACCATAACTAAATATCTAAAAAAGTAGTTAGTTATATTTATAATAAAAGATTTTATGACATTTGAAAAGCGCAATGAATTATTTTGAGAAAAAAACTTTAATATTAGTAAATGGAAAATTGTACATTTATAAAATAAAAAGAGTGCTAAGTTTACACATAACACTGTTTTTGTTCCCGAAACACAATTATTTGTTGTTGCACTTTCGACGCTAAGGAAGTTCACCATGCATTAATTGCAGTTTTTCTACGTAGTAACATATTTTTTTACCTTTTATTTATTTTCAATATTTATCTGAACACTTGATGTAAAATTCATAATTAACGCTCATAAATACTTCACAAGATCGTTTAAAATTGAGTGTTACTGTTCAAAAATATTAATCTAAATTATTGAGATAGCGCGTTCCTCATCTTCCGACCAACACCTCGGCTATGTTGCTCGACAAAAGTATAAATAGCCATACAAATTTTAAATCAACAGCAAAATGTGTAAAATAAGGACTTAGAAAAATTACGTATAAGGGTGTCACTAAGCGCCCGATGCTCGAATTAAAAATTAAAGTTGTACAGCTCTTTGAGTAGCATACATTAAAATTATTTTCGACTATGCAGAACTTAGTTTTTTCTAATAGAATGCTTCATATATTTGTACATATTCTTACTAGCGTCTTCCTAGGTTTTATATCCATTGTTTATTTTTGAAATTCCGGTGCAACGCTATTCCAGTTTTTTTAATTTTTTTGGCAATACAAGGGTTCACAAAAAAATCACAGTGACGTTGTTATTAAAATCTGTATTGCAATAATTTTAATATATGGTCCTCAAAGGACTGTACAATTTTAGCACTTTTTTCTATTTCCAATAATAATTAATGAGACATCGAAGAGAAGCGATTTGAGTGTCGGTTTAACTTAAATTAATTTATTTCTTAATTTGGATCCTTTATTGGCAAGGACTTATAAATACTAGAGTATGTACTTTATAAATATATACATCATGTAAAAATGTTTTAAATTACAATACCGAAAATTTTATTTAAGTATTTAATTATAGCTGACATAATTTAAACCTTTTTTAAAGAGGTTTCCAAGTACCTATTTAGATGTTATAAATACATATACAAGGTGTAAACGATAACTAGCCTGCCCCATTTTTTTTCATTATCAGTAAATCAAAATAATGAAACTGTGTATAAATACTTCATCCATTCGAAAATTGTCATTATGTACATTTGAAGTCGTTTCGCCAGAAATAACATCACCTTCAAAAATATAAATGGAATACCTGCATACATACATAAAATTCTGAATCTGGATTCATAAGTCCCAAAACCTCATGTTAAAATTTTACATCATGAGTTATAAATTTTCAAAAACGGTTGTAGAACCAAATAAAAATTAATTTAAATAGCTATTCATTGCAAAGTTTTATTTCAATCCATAAAGAAAAAAAAGGTACATCGTATATTCTGGTTTTTAATTTTCGATTTTTATTGCAAATCACAATTTACTACTGTACATCCATAGAACTCCAAGTTGCCTACTTATGTAGATTTCTTATGATTATGAAGGATACATTACACTACTTGTTTACTTTAAAACTATATTAACAAAAAGATGCTTCCAATACTTCTTTTTTATTAGGCGAGGTACGTAAAATTTGCTAGTGATAAAATTTCAGAACTTTACACATTGTGTAAAGAATGTAAGTGATTTAATCTGAATTTGGCAATTTGGTGTTTATGTGGCAAAATAAAAATTTTTCGAATCGTCGATTCTTTCAATGCAATATGTTGAACTGTATTCGGTTTTAGGACATAAAAGAAAACTGTCTTAAACAACGTTTTAAATAAAACAGGCTCTGCAACGTACATTACACTGTGGAGTCGGTGCCAGCGGTTATCTACCTATGCGACTTTAATAACGCTTTGTAAAAGTTGTAAAACTGTAAATAGTAAAACTAATCGAACTGATGAAAAGTGTGTCCATCATATGTTAAGAACATTATTTTCTCTATTTCTGACGTGTTTTCCTTTGTATTTTATGTTGACCCAGAATGTTCAATAAGTATTTATGTAACGAAAAAGAAGTGAAGTACCGGTACCGGTACTTCGAGTTCTAATGTTGGCTAACTTGTCGCGGACATGCGCATGTTCGTGGATCGATAAAGATTTGTGTGGGTTGTTTGTCATTTTCAAGGTCTGCATCGATTTTAGGTTAAGATAGTTGCCAAATGCTCAGCAAGTGGGGCACTTGGTGTTTGTATACCAAAGAAAATAAACAAACATGTCAGCCAAAACAAAGTGTAAAGTTAATTCCGATGGCAGTGTGTGTTTAGAAGATATTCTTAACTCATTTAATTCCTCAATCAGAGAAGAACATGCTTGGGCTTTATGTTACCAGTGTGCAAAGTATTACAGTGAATGTGTATCGTCTCGAAAACCTAATATCCATATTATCACAGAAGTTAAGCATGTGTACTTACAGACAGATGGTAATGTACATGAAAATACAGTAAAATCCAAAGATGCACCTAGAAAATCTGTCAGGTGTGAAAAAGATCTTATTGCTGGTCTGGGAATAGTGATATATACAGCCCTCGATCAAGGAAGTCAGAATGATGAAGAAAGAGTTATTAGCCAGGATCTCGAACAACTTATCAGTGACATGGTTTCAGATGAGTTGAATAGTTCAACAGAACAAACTCACCATGAAACTGATGATGAGGGAATTGAGCGAGATTCAGAAGAGGGTGAAGAGGAGCCTGGTACGTCGAAAACTCGTAATCATATGACGTTACAAGAAGTTATAAAGAGATGTGAAATCCACCTTGGAACGTTAACAAAAACTCAGACTGAAGCACACTATAAGGCTGTAGTTCGGGCTTTGGTTGCAGAAGGTTTAGAATTAGCCACATTTTTAGAAAAAGTTGCACAGGGCAATTTGAACTTGCCTACAAATAGCTCAAAACAGTCAGATTTGGACCAATTGAAGTTCTCCGATTGGGCTAAATTTTGGGTTCAGGTAATGGGAGAACTCAGAATGGGTGTCAAATTAAAAAAGGTTCACTACAGTAGAGCTCCTATTGAATATGAACTCACACCTTATGAAATACTCATGAAAGATATTAGATCATGTAGATATAATTTGAGAAAAATAATGATTAATGGAGATGTTCCCTCTCGTGTTACCAAAGACGCTCACGCTATTATTTTAGAATTTATTAGATCTAGACCACCCTTGAGGAAGGTGTCTGATAGGAAACTGCCACCTCAACCGCGCACACTTACTCCAAGGGAGCAGTTACTCAATTCTATCAAAAAGGGTCGCAAACTGAGGCCCACTCCAAGGTAACAGATTCTGTTTTATTATTATTATTATTAAATTATATATTCATGAATATTCATTATGTCTAACGCAGTCCAACTAGTTCCTCTAAAATTTTATTTATGTAAGAATTATGAAACAAGGAATTTCACTTTCCACTTATTTTTTATTACAAATTTTACACATGAGGAACTTTTCTGAGCAAGTGATAGTGAGACAGGTTGAGATTATTCCTATCATAATTTGAACTAAAAATCTACTGATAATGATTTCACTATGTCACAGTAATCACATTTTTTTGTAATCCTATTATATGTTAATTTGTCATTAAATAGGTAATTTTATATCATTTATGTTTATTGATAAATTTATATAAAAGTATAATTAAAAATATACGTACACCTTATAATTAGTACTTGTTAAAAGTGCTGACGCACTTAACAAAGTCTATGTTAATAAATATACGTAATACGTTTGTAATTAAATGATACGTAAAATATAACACATCCATAAAGTGAAATATTCGTTAAAAAAATAGAAAGCCTGTTACACATTTTTATTGTATGTATTTGAAATATTAGAACTGAAGTTTGACCAAATTTCTCTTGAGCAAAGAAAGTGAGATTACTTTATAAATTTTCCAAAAAGGATATAGTTTTTGGAGAAATACCCTCTGTATTAGTTAATGTTTGTAATATTAATTCTGATGTTTAAAAACCGGTCGTTGTCCCACCAGCCATAAATATTGTGACACCCTGTACATATTTCAAAAGTCAGATTCAAAATTTTCTCCTGTGCCTCTTGCATACTTTAAAAGTTCAATATTTTCTTGGGACAGAAGATCGAGAACGCGATAAACAATTAAGAAAGTAAGTATAATATAGAAAGTATATTTCACAAATACATAAACCCTTGCCTCTTTTTGAATCATACGATTGAACATACACTAACGTGCGAATATCTGAAAAGTCTCAAAGATACATTAATCAACCTAGTGGGAAAATATTCGAAAGGCCATTCAAAAGCGCAAAAAAATGCCAATTTCTTTAAAAATTAGAAATAACACATTATGTAATAAAAAAGCGGAATTAAATAACAACAAGATAGGTGGTTGCAGCATTTTTACAAAATATTAGTTTTTAAATTATTTAATTTATTTTATAACTACGTTCCACACTGTGTAATACGTTTATGATGTTATCCAATTTTTGTATGACCTGAATAAATTGAATATTCTTGAGTCTATTAAATTCAGAATGCGCGTTCGTGGAAGGATCGTAAACATAGGTTATATGGTATGTACTCAAGCCGTCTTATACAGTTCATCGCAGTTTCTGTAAATTTCTATTAAATTCATTGCTGTACTATATAATCGTTTTATTAATTCTAAATTTATTCAGTGGTTATTTTAGGATTACAATAATAGATAAAAGTTCATCTGTACGATACGTTATACGCACAAAAACATATCGTGGTATTGATCTCAATTTTCCCATCAATTATTTCAAAGAAACGTAAACATGAATTAAAACTCAAAGGTTGTCATTTCAATCAAGAGATAATAGTTGTCGCCAGTGTCAGCATGAGCGTGTCAAATGATTTTCATAATTGCGGTTGTTAAACCTGCTACGTTATTTTTATAGATTAATAATGATAATAAAAAATATCGTCAGTCGAGGATATTATTAGAACCTTATTAAATCTATCGATTAACCGCCTTTCGCAATTCTGAAGTTGTACGCAAAATTTAATTATGGGATGGGAATCGGTCGACGCATTATTTTACCCCAAACTTGGAAGTTTTCCTTTTGTGGATGTGGAATTGAACGGGGACTATTTATTGTTATCTTGGCCAATTTAATCAACATAAAATTAATTTGATAAACATTAAACATTAATTTGTTGTTGATAAGAAAAAATGCTCTTTTGTTTTTTATTTTAATCAAGTAACAGTCAAGTATTCCCATTAATAAAAAAGTTTGTGATAATTTTCGTGGAATACTAACATAACGCTTGTGTATTTATTGAGATTATGTAGTACAAAGGTATCTACGTGACCTGCCACCGATTGTTCCTGAAATTGTTCTTTTTACTAGTTTGCATATCGGTGTATCATGATTTTATCGACTTCTGATAAAACAAGTGACGACATAGTAGTCAGTCTGAGATAAATTCCTAAAAAGATTTAAATAATTTGTTAGGAAATACACTTTCGTAGGGTTATTAAATTTGTGGCGTAGTACTGTTTGGATATGTGGTGTTGTTCGATATTGTAGTAAAAATAATTAATTTATTAAATTTGCCTCCTAAACATTTCTTCCAATTTTTGCCGATATATCATTTATCAACAATTTTAGAAACGATAAATATTATGTGTATATGTACATAATAGACAAGACGTATTAAATAAATAGTTTAAGGTTCTACCATTTTATTGTAAAATTTAAAAAACTAAACTATCTGACCCTATGAATTATTTCTTGTTAACTGCCAGTTTTTATGACTCTTCCAACAATGATGTTCTAAAATAAGATATCTCATCTTAAAAAAGCCAGTTAATGAAAAAAGAGGGCGGAATTGAGAGATATGGAAGTCGTTAACAAATAAATGAAATAAATGCAAATTAAAGCAAGAAGCCACATTAAAACGCCTACGTGTGCCAGAGAGAGTAAAAAAGAAAGTCTTAAAAACGACGAAAACGTGAATCTCTGCATCGGATCGATAAAACTTGAAAGTGAAATATATTTCATCTTATTAAATTTATTTGTTATTAAAATTTTGAATTTTGTGCGAACGCAAAGAATATCAATGCTAATGTATATGTGCGCTATTGAAAAAAGTTTCAATGTATTTGCGTTGTATTGTGGAGTTGATGGATGGGCAGAAACGAAGGACAATTACGCCAACGTTTCGGTGGGTTGGAGAATCACAAGTTAAATTGAGTTCTAATACAAACTGAATAAATTATTTCGTGCTTAATTAGTACTGTTTGACATTAAATTGTGGACAATGTTAAATTATTCACTGCAACGGCATATAACGAAGTTAGTAAAAAAGTTGGATTCCTTTGTTTTTAAACAGTAGGTTAAAAGTTGTTTACATTACACTATGACCTAAAGTCGATGTCATTTTACAACACACTTTTGGAATTTAAAAAAAATTGTAAGTAGGAGCTAACTAATATACAATCTCGATACATTCTGACTAGAAATTTGAAATTCGTAGTTTTTAACTTAATTTTTACAAGTCCACCAATTCGATATCCCGCAAACACATCTGTAATTGAAATTTGAGAATAAACTAGGTCATTAGCATTACGATTTCTAGTAGAGATTTTAATAACACATTATTTTATATTATCAGCATTATTGTTGTATAACAAATGTAAAACTTATTGTATTACTTAAATACAATCATCCAAAAATATAACATAAATTGAATTGAATTCACTTTAAACTGCATTTAATCGTGTAAATCAAATGCACGTTTACCATAGGAAAATTAGTAAATTGTTGGGAGTTAATTTTATTATGAGTAGTAATAGTTTTAATTATATATTTTGATTTTTTAAATTATTATGTTTAACTGTAGATGTTCGTTTCCTTATCATGCTGAACTGTATATGAAATTATATGAAAGTAAGTTGATTTTGGGCTTTCTGGCCAATAATATAAATAATCATGCTTCTAATATCTGCTAGGTTGTCAAGTTGCATTCAAAATATTGTACTTGACAAAGATCTTTATGCCTCTTTAGAAAAAGAGCCAAGTTTGTTAGAAAATTTTAAGCGTAAACGTTCGCTACTCGTTTTACTTTCTATTTCGGTCGAGAAAGCGGTACTCATAGAACTAGTAAATATTTTGCTAATAATAATTGATGTAGTCTTTAAATATAGACAGGGATATAGTTCTTCAAAACCTGTATAATTACATGGCTCCATAAAATTGTCCCATTGTGCGAAAGTTCAAAGGTTGACAATAGAACAAATTTCAGTCTTGTTGTTTTGTTAAGGACTATATTTCGTTCTATAACAGTCCAGAGCGAAAATGACTTGTTTTACAGAAAAGTAAAAATTATGTGCTATTTCAGATTAGATTTCGCGACTATTATTAGAAATTCGAATAAAGAAAGTTGAAATTCTGTACAATGGATTGTTGCGGTTAATAGAGTATTACGCGTTAAAGAGGCACAAACATTTCAAATTCAATTTTTTGATCTTCTAAATCATGCAAGGGTCGCAAATAAGGCAAACCTTTTATGTATAACCACTAAATCAATCTAATAAATGCTTTAAATCTAAATAAAGGGTTTTCAGAATTAAAAAATTAAACCATTTTCTACAAGCAGCAAAGAAGTATTGTAGTAAGTCAAAATTTTCTCAGGATATAAGGCCACGGAGTTTTATCTCGGACACCTGTGGTATTACCACAACATTTAGGGAGTGAGTGTACCCATTGTAAATCAATTTTTGTAAACTATTGCTCACGAGCGGCTTAGGACTGGAATGATTGCTTTTATTAGTAGAGACATACAAACTTTTCATCATTTGGTTGCTATAAAGGCTTTGATCACAATAAAATTCCAGTTCATTACATTTCTTAATTTCCGTTAACAGCGGAAACCTCCTATTTTAAGTCTGTAAGAAATTGGGGACCTCTATAGGCCCGTAGTTCCATTGTCAGAGTACTTAACTGCGACACAATAAGTACCTTGTGATGAAAACCGTTTTCCTTCTACACCACTATACATAGAAATGTTTGGAACATGATTTATTACTAAATCACCCCGGAGTCTCCCTGCAGAGACATTTACTTGCGGTCAGCCACTTTTATAGGGGTCATATAATCTTATAGGGTTTAGAGAACTATACAACTCTTATAGAGTCGAACGGGACCATCTAAAAATGGGAAAAATTTCCAGGGTGCCGGTGGTCGTGATGCACGGAAGCGCCTGCTATCGACTCTAAATTTTATATGGCTTTAAGACACTGATTTTTTATGGATTTAATTGTTGTTATAAGTGAAATTTGTAAAAATTTCTACCTTTCTTAGGTGCCAGACAACGACGTTATATAAATTATATGTATATATAGTGAACCAAAAGCTATAAGGTTATATGGCCATCATAAAATCATCCCATTGTGTCGAAGTTAAGTTGTTTACAATAGAAAAGGTTTTAGGGTCGTAAATAACGTGTCCACTGCAGCTCGACCGGCTCTTGTGGTTTCGTTCAGGGGCGGCTTTCACTAAATATGAAAATCCACCACTCCACTATTTCTTTACTACCTGCAGCCGCTGAGGGTTCCGAAATAACCACTCGCTTTGAAAGCCGGCCCTGTTAAATATGAGCAAGAAATGTTTAGAAGATGATTTATTGCCAACCGGTAAGCTTAGTGCGAACCACACAAAGGGGGTATTTATTTGCGGTCAACTACTTTTATGATGGCCATATAACCTTATAGCTCTTGGTTCACTATATAATACAACGTCCCTGGTGGCAGTCTGAATATTTCCTGCGCACCTTCAGTAAATTTCTAACCTTCCAAGATTAAAAATCTAGCACAATCTTGATAAAATTCTGATAAGTTCCTGCTACTGCGGTATATCATTGGGAGTTATGAGAGAACCTTGTTATGTAAATGAAACTTGGGCTAAAATCACTCCATTCAAAGTTTAAAAAATAAGGTTTCGGCTTCCAACAAGCCGCTTTTCGAAATTAATAATATTTACAATTGCCACAGATTATGACTCTCTTTATCAATTTTGTGAGATTATAAGCTTTGCATAATTATCGAAGAATCTTTGTCAGCTCGCGTTTTTTATACTGTGTTTTTTTATATATAAAAACTTCGTTACAAATGTCTGTTAAAAACTAACTCATCGCATTTCAGAATACGAGTATATTTAAAAATAAGTTTTAAACTTGAACAGTAATGCAACTAAACGTTAACACCAATGGGTGGAGAATGACAACAATTTTATAAACGTTCGTAGAGGATTCATCAACTAAGTACATATAAGTCATATGCTGGTAAATTTGAAACGTGGTATACATTCTTATGTTCTTTTCTTTTAATTATTGTTGTATTCATTGCGAACAGATTTATTTTGTTTTAGATATGAAAATCATTTTAATTGGTGTTATGTACTGACTTAAATACGAGTAAATCATAGATCGTATCATATAAATTTACCTTTTCATCTAAATAAATACAGCTTAAAGAGATAAAAATCTTATTTCGATGTTATCAGAATTATGCAGACAGAAATAACACGTGATAACATTATGTAGTGTCATAAAAATTAATTACTTAAAATGATTGATGATTCTTTTTTCAGATCTAACTATATGCTATCAGAACCAAAGCATTCCACCAAAGAAGATCCTTCTAAGTCAGGTCGAAGGTTAATTAAAGTTGACTTCAGCCAGTTCGAAGATGAGGATGACGACGAACCAATCGACAGTCCCGATTCCACCGATGCCGGTCTGTGGTCAGCAACGGATTATATCCGAATGTGTGATAGCACCCTGGAAGCATATGATCTCGCAACGCAAGACTTAAACCCTCGTTCAAACGTACGACGACACACCCTCGAAGTGTGCGACCCGAATCTAGGCAGTTACTCTGTGCCCCAATCGCGGCCTTGTTCTCGACAATCCTGCAATAGCTCGGAAGCAGAATCGGTTCAGTTAGAACCCGAAGTGGCCAAAGCCATGCAAGAAGAACTCACTAATATCCGTAGTTGGCAAGACACCATATCCCTAGACGATAGATTATCACTCACGTTATCAGAAATTGTACATATTCGTGCAGTGCTGACCAAGGCCGAGCTGGAGGCGCTGCCGGTGGAGGGCAAAGTCAGGCACGATGTGGAGGCGCGAAAAGTATGCTTCCTGTGTCTGAAGACACGCTTCGGCATTTTTGGCCCGTGGGGACAGAGGTGCACTTTGTGCAAACGCACAGTTTGCACAAAATGTTGCTGCAAGATGAACATCCCTATGGAGCACTTCTCCAGCGTGCCCGTGGTGTTGCTCAGTCCCAGCATCATGTGTACGCCGGAAGACGAGGCGAGGGAGTCGTTTCCGAAATCTCTAGTCAATAAAATCATGGATCCCGAAACTCCAGCTTCAGCTGACCACAGTCCGGAGATGAGCAGGCCCGGGTCCAGTATGGAAAGCAGCACCATCAGCGATCCGGGGTCGCTCGGGAGGTTCCGGGCGAAGGCGGCCACTGCAGGCAGGGCTGCCAGGGTGGTTGATAAGTTTAAAGCGTCACAAATGGTCGTTTGCCAAGACTGCAAGATGATGGTGCTGCAAATTATCAAGTCGGCTAGAGCTAATCGCTCGGCCATTAGAAATAAAACGCTACAAAGTCTCACGTTGAATTTGTCACCTGTATTTTAACAGTGATATTTAAATTTACATGTCTTATCGAAAACAACTCAGTAGTGATATTAGTTTTAACCAGAATCTTGTTGCATTGCATTTTCAATGTTCCATTCCTATTTCGTGCATTCCGAACGTATTCGTGTATATTTTAAGATGACCCCGGAGTCTTCTAGAAGATTTTATTATATTTAAAAAATGGCTATTTTATTTTGATAACTGTAATTTTATGTAAAAATCTTTCAAAAAATTTAAAATATATTAAAATAAATAAAGGCTATGTTAATTATTGCTGTGAATATTCTTTCCCGTGCCACAGATGACCTACACAGCTTTGCAAAAGTGCATCAAAAACAAACTCATTGTCAGTAGCGGACCTAAGATCAGCTTCAACCGCTAATTTAGTACAAGGGCTTTTTTTACTTAGAGCACTTGGACTCTATAGCCTCGGCATAAGATTTGACGCAGGTACTGTCTAAAACCAACCACCAACAGGCGAGGTAGGAATGGAACCTTCAATCCACGATGTGACGATCAGACATGGTCACTGATCAGTAGTAATCAGACTTGAAGTCGTCACATACACCCTATTTTTTTCATTATAGGTACGAGTATAGCTTTTTTTTTTGTTTACGTGCTAGAGTTATTATTTTTATTGTGCGATATCGGTAACTTCATGTACGCCAGGCGTTTTTGTCATCGTTGATATACCTAATTGAATGATAGAAGGAGTTGAAGAAGAAAGCTAGGTACTTGTTTTAGAAGTTAGCATAATGTCAGGTTTGCTACACTCCATAAACAGAACAAATTTATTAAATTTGGAAAACAGAGACCAAATATTTGTGTTTACAAAAGACAGTTCAACAGAGGTTTCTATTTTTATAAGTTCATTGAAAGAATTGTATGAAAACACTTATCCTGTCATCCTACCTCCATGTCCAAGCCAAAAAAAAACAAAACCCAAGTAGCAATACAATTTCAGCAGCATAGGTATATGATTTACCTACTCTGTCCGATTTCTGTATTTTGCTAAATATTATCTTTATTTTTAGAGATGAAGCGGTTTTGTGTACCACGTATTTGGTGTACGTCAACGGCAACATTTGAATCATATTTGAAAATAAAAAAAACTTTGTTTTTGGTCCAACTAAAAAAAAATCTAAATTAACGACAGAAGCTCGTCAGGGCATCTACCATCAGTTTCTTCTTGAAATAAGTATAAACAGAAAGATTAAGCACAGAGGCATGCATTCTGCGGCTATAGGATATTTGGTTTCAACGAAAACTTAACCGAATTTGACATGGAGAATAATTTTCAAAATTTTATAGTAACTAAGATTTCTCACCTCGTTTTTTACCAAAACGCAGAATTAGAAATGGTGACAATCAGTCCCGTGTGAGGTCAATGAATTCAATAAATTTGTAATTAGGTTAATGGATAGGTTTACAGCGAGCTACCTGAAAACCAAATTCTGCCTAAGTGATTTAAGTCGCAATGCTGTTAGCGTATACAAATCATATAGGTACGTTTACGTCTACTATGTAAGATGGACTGATCTAAAGGTGGTACAGGACAGGCTAAGGTGAGTAGCTTATCTTATTGCTGGTGTAAATGTAGCTAACATCACTAACATCCTCTACTTCATGATAACATAACACTAGAAGAGCAACTCCGCTTGCGTGGATTTCGCAATTAGGACACATCATTTTTCATCCTGTTCACTTCCCCCTCTCCAGTAAACTCGTGTAACTTAAAAAATCACGGGACTACCACAAACCTTTATCCCCTATTTTATCCCTTTAGGGGTGGAATTTCCAAAAATACTTTCTTAGTGGGTGCTTAGTAGCAGTAGTTAGTCTGTCAGTCAAGGCCAGTGATTGGAACAATTACTTACTTTTAAAAAGTAATGAATTACAATTACTGTTTGCACTTTGAAAAATTTGATAAAGACACAATTTTAGATATTTGTTGTATGGGTCCAAAGGGTCAAGAAAAAACGTGTTAGAATGAAAAAGGCAGTGAGTGATTTATTTTACTAACGCATCTGTTACATATATTCACATCAGTAAATAAAATAAAACAAATACCTAAATACTTCACGCAAGAGGACTATATTCATAATTTAAATTCAGTAATAACAGACATTCAAAATTTTCGTCAGCTAAGGCATGACGTTTTGTTTTAAAAACATCCACGCCAAAACTAAACATCTTTTCCACTGCGGCGCTAGATGGAATTGTTGTGGGACAACATGTTACATATTTTGCCAAAAATTGAAGAGCCGATTCTTTTGCGCCTAATTTCATTCCACTCTAGCTACAAATAATTAATAATTTAAACAAAAATTTGCATTGGTGGGAGATTTAAAAATATGTATCTTATTGCGTACGTGTAAATGTATCATAAATATTAGTCCACCGATAATTACCTGCAGACGCAAATCTGTTAATCTTTAATAAAATGAATATTCCTAAATACTTAGAAGGGGGTTACAAGATAATGTAAACTTGTACTTGGTGTTGTGACTTACAGATTAAATTTAGAAAACCTTAGAGGGTGGATACTCTCATAAAATTTTATTGTCAGATTCTGAAGGGTTTAAAAGGACGCGGGCTCTATCGGTTACCTGTTATAGATTTGAGTGGACCAGAAAAATGGCTAAAGTTTGTTTAACTAATTGAATTTGAAAATTTAAAATTGATCCATAAGTAGCGAAAACCAAATAATTTCACACTCATCACAATTTTAACGCGTTGTAGTTTTTTTTTTTTGACAACAAAATTTAAAAAATGGAAAAGCAGTTGGGTAGGGTTTTTTACGCTCATGTCAACGGTGTAAAGTTTATTACAATCGGACGTATACTTTTGGTAAAAACTTGGGCAGAAGTTTATATGTATTTCCCTATGCTAAATTAGGCTTTATCTCACACTTAAAATGATGAAAAGTTTATGTATATTATGGTTACCTCGTTTCTTAACAAATTCTGTGCTAAACTCGTTTTAGAATTTACTTCCTACTGGGACTTCTCCTTGTCGGAATGAACGAGGTATAAAAATCCCAGAAGGTCAGGCGAGGTCAAGAAAACGATTCGTAGAGAAAAACAAAACAATATTTTTGAGCATTTGGGTTAAAATAATTGCAAAAAGTAGGTAATCGTAAAAGTAACTGAATTACTCAAAAAAAGTAATTTGTTGCAATTACTCATTACCTACACTTTTTAAAAGTAATGCATTACAATTACTCATTACTTGAAATACAATTGAATTACAGTAATGAATTACTTCCAACCACTGGTCACGACTACGGTGGTCGGAGGACAAACACTATTATTATATATTAAAATTATTAGAATGTATTACTGTATTACCAAACGTTCTTTTATTTTGTAAAATTAAAATAACTGACACGGAATTCTAAAGAAGTTGTGTTATAATAATCATGACCATTATTTTTAACGTGGTCTTGGATATCCTCAATTAATGACTAGAAGTTATTGCTTGCTATTAGAACTTATATTGTCTAATTATACACTTTTCAATATATTATAGTCCTTCTCAAAATATTCCAACAATTTTCGCTGATAGTGAGTTTGAATGATAACTCAAAATATACATATGTATTTAATATATAAGTAGTTACTTTTTTTAGGAAATCAGTCCACCAGCACTTTTTTTGGTTGGTTCTTCTAACACAATAATTCTTTTTACTGCCCTAAAACTGTTATTCTCACAATAACCTGTCTAATAATAATTTTTAGCTGACAAATCACAGTTATATGTAGAAACAATAAGGGAAACAGTACAAATAAAGAAACGTCTTAATTAAGTACTGAATGTCAAATTGTATGCTTTAATTGGGAGAATGAATAATTGTTAATAAAAACAGCTGGTATTCTTGGTTTGTCTTTAACATTGCTTCGTTCAAAAGTTGATTAATATGTGTCGCGTGACTTCTTTGATCAAGCATAGTTAAAAAATTCCACTAGTTATGCAAATTGGAGATATACTTACCGCATCATTTGTGATATATACTAAGTACTGATGTCACATAATTCCATCAAAAACATCGAGGGGGTGACCCTCTATAGAAACGCTCTTGTATTTCGAAAATAATACCCCATCTTGTCGAAGAAGTTATTACCAAGACCTCAGTAATTGACGAATTGATTATAGTTTCAAGAAGTTTCAGACAAAGTAGACCCGTTAAATTTTCTTTAATAGTGACCTAATTATGCAGTTCCTGAAAATACCTATCCATGCGTTAATTTTTTCAGGCAATTGAATTTGTCATTTTTTAAATATGCGTGGGTTTACATCATGCTAATGTGGTGAACCGGAATTTCAACCCTTAAAATAGCCCTACTGTGGCACATAGTATTTTTCCATAACGATTCTACTCTTCATTATCATGGGAACCAAAAGTCCGAACTTCCCAGTATTGTCAATTAAAATAATCTTCAAGGCAAGCGATCGCTTCCCATGGCCCCGCACAGTCACACTTCCTTCCAGGAATATTCGCCAAAATGCATTCCATGCCCAAATATGGAGAACATCTTCGCGCCCAATCAAATCACTCCAATTGCAATTAATATACAAAGTTGCATGGGAAACCTGGGGTCAAAACAAACACTTCCGATCAAGGTCAATAAGTCTGACGAATGCGTTATCATTCTGGGTGGTCCGATGCCAATTAATTATGGGAAATGCACTTTTACAAACACTCGCCGCCGTTTCCGGCGACAAAATTGCGAGAAATGCATTTTTTTGTTACATCTTCTTCGCTATTCCCACGCTTGAAAACCCTATAAAAACGTCTCGATTAGAAATAAAATTCAATTCGATTCCGATTCAGTCTCGCGTGCGGATGGGCCTGCTTCCTAGTCTAATCGTGATACCCAACTTCCGGCCGCTGTGCTAGTGGCAAGTGCGAAAGTGCATCTTCCAAGCCAACTTTCTTCAGCTGTTGCAGTGGCGCTTCGTCCCTTCCGATCTTCCACCGAGCCGCTAACTCGACGACATGTAAGTCCCACTGACCTAGTTACGGCATGCCCTATTCTGTCCTTGCGGAGACCGGGTTATTGGTCATTATCGGCATCTCGGAGTAATTTTAACGCATCATCAGGATGAATCTCGCTCATCAAGTGATTGACTCCCCTTATCAAACCAGATTCTTTCGACTGTATTCGGAACCCCCCTGCCGTATCAGAGGAGTTTGCCCTATAGGGCACTGCCCACGTTTTTATCTCATTCACGCATTCAATCCCGTGAACCAGCACTCCTCCGCCGTCAAG